ATTTTTGCACATTGATCTTTGCTTTATTAACAATACCAATTTGAAACAATTTATCACAATATGCAAATTTACATATATTGTGTTATCATGATTTATCTTAGGTTTAGTATAGAGATAATTTGTTTGTAAGAATAATATGAAATAAATTCAAAAAAGAATTTGCCTATCTTTTCTTACAAAAATTCGATTTGTAAGATTTTTTGATCATTCACAGCGGCTACTGATCTTACAAATCGAAAGAACGTATGCAACGAATCTTTTGAAGAACCAGCTGTCGATTTGCTTCTATGAATCTTCTGTGAATTCGTGAAATCTTCAATGAGAAGTATAAGAAAATTCATTTAGATCTGAAAAAATTCTGCGTTTGGATCGCTATCTCTGAACAAACTGTCGATTGTACGACATAACGAAATCTCCTCTTCTCTATTTTATTTGTTTGGAGTCTTTCTTATGAAAAAACAGGAGCAACCGTTATACCACCAAGAACGAATCAAGATATAGACTTAATCTCTGAAACGGTGCACCCTATGTAAAATGTTTTCGATTCCGAGTGGTCAGATTTTGGGGTAGATTTGGCCATCTTTGCGTACGTTATGCACGGACCTTGAAGAAATTCCGTTACATTCATCGCCTTTTTATTTCTTTTTTTTTTTTTTAACAACGGTATATATATACCAACTCTTATATAATATTAAATGTAAAATAAATAAAGAGTGAAATAAAAATAATCTTTTTAAACGTTTCCGTTTACAAATCTAATCACCTTGATAAAACCTAAACTCTACTTTCACATGAAACATTGGATTAACAAGATTATCGGCAGCTGTCTTATTTATTTTTCCCTCCAACAAGCAAGAAGATATTTTCGGAAAACGTCGAAACACTTCGAGTCTACACTTCTTTGTGACGAGTTGCTAGAATTGCCTGAGATTAGATGATGAAGAAGTCACTGCCTTAAATCGCTCCCATACTCATTTGTAGCTTTGATAGAAATAGAAGATTCTTTGAAAATATTTATCAGAAATTAAACTGAATCTTTTGTTTTATTAAGAACTTAATTTATAAAATTTTTTATAGATCTCACAATACACTTTAAAAAAGATGTTTCTTTTAAAAAAAGAAAGAACGTGCTCGATATAGAAAAATAAGTAGAAGAAATGATACTGTATAGCTGTAGTACTGTAATAAAATGTCGAAAAAAGAAGATTTAGTACCATTTTTAAACATCTGTAAAGCTACCACCCGAAGATCTTTTTTATGCTGTAACCTTGAAATGCTACACATTTGCTCTCGTTCTTAAACTGTTACCTTTTTACTTTCTTTCCTTGGACATTTCGTTTTACTATTACGTAACATCTCTTCCTGTAGAGAACTATATTTTAAAAAACAATCGAAAGTTTCATTGTAAACTACCTTAACTAATTTATCGTCAATAAAAGATCGACTTTTTAGGAATTTTAAAACACTTCATTGTTTGATGAAGACCCGTTTCGAAAAAGCTAAAAAGATTTCCAGACAATAAAGAAAGTATCTCAAACTGTTCAAAATGTATAACACGTAAAAAAAGGTGACCCAAAAAGATACTATTCTTCCTACTGCAAAATAGATCGTAAAAAACATTTTTCCTATTCGTAACTTTCCAATGAGAGAGAATTTACGAGAAAAGTATAAAAAAGTATTTATGCTTCACACTGCTTCACACTACAATAGCCACCAGAAAAGTAAAAACAAATAAAATAACAAAAAATAAAAATTAAACTTTTTGTGTTGTAACTTTTAATGACCTTGCAAAGTCAAAGATATCAATTATTCATTAATAAAAACAATTTATTTCTTCTCGTCATCTCATCTTCAATATTCGTTTGGCAGATAAAAATTCAAATAACGTCTTGAAAATTACATTTTTTTATTTGATGATTGTAAATATTTAAAATTAACACGATCAATCAAGTGAATAATTGAAGATGACAAATTAAAAGTAATAAACGTTATTGCAAATAAAATGCACATGTATATATATTTGCATACGCATTTAAAATATTGCAACGTTATTTATCAATGATCTTAGTTTTGTCTCTGCAATATATAACAAATACCAAACTTTACTCTAAGTTTACGGACTGAGCCAACTTGACTCATTTCAAATTGTTTTGCTACGTATATACAATATTTAAATATTATTTTTAAAAAATATATGTTGATTTTTAATGCCGTAATGAAATATGCATAAATGTTAATTCCTCACCTCTACCCACTTCTTCATTCAAACAATGTTTGTAAGTTTTCAAAAATAATGAACAAAACATCCGTAAATCTATAATGTTTACAAATAAACAATATTTTACATTTTAAAACATTTAGTTTCTTGAAGTTTATTTTATTGACGATTTTACTTAAACATCTCAATTGTTGTACAATGTCGCAATTCCCAAACATTACAAAAAAAACAGAGCAAGAGTGAGAGAGAAAGAGAAAAAAAGAGAGAAGAAAATAAAAAGATTTACTTACAGATAATCACAATGGAAGTCCAAGATCATTCTATCAATCGAGCAAAATGTAATGACCCCAATGATTCTGCACATCTGTAAAAATAAATACCAACATTAGAATTTTCTAAACGTATCGAAACTTCTGATTTCTTACAAAACGATTTCATTCACCATCAACCAAATGCGGTGTAATCTAAATTACCTATATAGTAAAAAAAAAATTATTAAAAAAAATATATGAAAGCTCGGTAAAATCGAAGAGGATCCTCCAAGATCTCATTTGTCGATTTAGACCTACTGAATACTGCTGGCTATCTCTGTTTTTTCTCTACTCCCTATGTTTCTCTCTCTTTTCTTCTCATATCCTATCTGCTCACCAATCTACTCATCTTTATCCGTGGAGCGACGACAGGCGGCTGACAGGACGCGGAGAGCGTTTTGGAGCCATTCCCCCTGCCTCTTTCACCCTCTTTTATCGTTGAGCTTACACACACATATGAATTTATCTCTCTCTCTTTCTTTCTTTAAAGCCTAACGCGTGCGTAAGCGCGAACTCCTCACCGTCATCCCAAATTGCGCGCACGTGTGCGTGTCGATCGGAACTGAGGCGAAAAGCATTCTTTTGCTTCCTATTTTCTTTTCTCTCTTTCTCTCTCTTTTTCTCTCTCTCTTTCTCCTTCTCTCTTTCGCTCTCTATATTTTTTTGATACACAGTAACGCGTATGTAGTGGTAGGAAAAGTTTTTTAGCTGAAGGCACGCGCTGCGCACGCTCGACTTCGAGCAGGTGAGGAACAGAGAAAGAGAAAAATGAAAGTATGTTTACACGTGTGCACGTATATACGAGAGTACCGCACGTACTTTTCAACCCCCATGAAAAAATGTTACCGACGTTTTACTGTAGCATGGAGAGGGTAAAAGGAGAGCTGGCCCACAAGCTTTGAAGGTTGTCCGATTCGAAAAACAGTGAATACTCTATGGAAAATAAAGGAGGATCATTGTAGGAGGCGTTATCTTTGTGGAAAATTGTCAGCTTCCACCTCCACTAAATTACGACCCTACCACCTACTGGTAGAAAATGCTCGGTTTCCGGAATGATGTCCAGTTCAAAAGTCGTCTCCAACATTTTCGTTAGTTTTACTAAAGCAGTCGAGTGATAGACAGGTGTATTGACTCTGTGTTCCTCGGATCATTCTTCCTTTTGGAATAATATTGATCGTAATTTAAATTTGTCTTTGCTTCATTTGTTTTTTCCTTTTTTTACTTGAACTAATTTTCTTTTTTTATAAATATAATTACGTGAATAAGTGTCGACTGTGTGGAATGCAAATAACTTCTTAGTATTATAGAAAAACTTTGTTTTATTCTATGTGATTAGTAAGAAAAAAACTGTGTATTTGGTGCCGCTTGTGAAAAATCATAAAAGTGTTAAATGATTTTTATTTAATACGGACTTTCCTAATTATTTCTAATATATCGGTTATAAAGGTTAAATTCAAGTAAAGTTGCTTGATAATGATTAGGGTGATAATCAGTTAGTGAATGCAGGCTTAATCTTTGTTATTTGAATGCTATATTAAATAACAATTATCGTTGTTCACATAATCTCTGTCTGTTTAATGCACGCATGATTCATCGCCTGAACTTTGATTTTGTTTGTACATGAAAAGTTTACTAACTAACAATAAGACATAAAGGCTCGTTATCAGTGATATCATAACAATTGAAAATCATTTTATTTATAAATTAATTTTCAAATTACGTATTTTAGTATACGTGTTAGAGAGTTTTATTTACTTAATCAATCATAATTTAAATCGTGCACCGTATTTGTGTAAGTATGTACTAGTTATTTTTTTTATTTGAAATAATATAATGTAAAACGTTTCCTTCTTAGATTTAGCATCCCTTAAATAGGAATAAAACATGAGTCCAGTTCAGAATTACTAGGAAACAAGCATAGTGCTTTTACCTTACGTATACATATAAATACATATATACAAGTTTTATCTTTCTCTTCCCTTCGCAGGTTTCCCCGGTCACCTAAAATAGGCGTCTTTTTCTATTCAGTTAGTGTAAGAAAGAGGAGGAAACTTCTTGTGCTCTTCTTTCCGACCTCCACCCCCCACTCCTAAAAGATCACGGTCGCAGGTTCACTTCTCCATTCGCCTTTAGTTTCGCCTAGTCACTTTCTCTCTCACTCGCACATGGTTTTTCCCTCCCTTGCGATAGAAACTACCATCCCTCTTCATTTCACTCTCTCTTTCTCTATTACGTAGAATCAGGCTATATCCAGCTCACTCAAAAAACATACTCCAGTCTTCGAAAGAGTCGCGCGCGCGCCGCTTGCGCAGCCTGAATTCTTGTTCCTGAGAGGGTGAAGAGAAAACGTATAGAAAAGTGGGGGTAACCAAAAGTAGATCTAGTGGGGGAAATCAACCTAAACGGGTGGGGATGTTTGAGTACTGCGAACGCAACTCGACTGTCACTTAGTATTGGGTTAGGTCAGCCCGTGGTAACATCATTGTTAGTAGTTATTTCCTTCTAGTTAAACATCCGCCCGTTTGTTGTTTATAATAGGAAAGCACTAACAATAAACCTCGGCTTCTTTCAGTTGTTTATTTTTTTTTTTTATTTTTCGTTTACTCGGTTTAAGTTTTACAATTAACGCGATGGATATGTAAAATGAAATAAACCAAGAGAAAACGGATTATCTCATCTCTAGTTATTCTGCTCAAGATTTACGAAGATATAAAACATGCATATCTAATCGTATCTACTGCAGAAATGAGGAAAAACCCACGAGGATATCGTACGAGACAACTGTGATTTCCCGCGCATTAGTACTTTTCCTGTTTGAAGTTCTATAAGGAAAGAGATCGCCCAGAGAAAAAATATAAAGTAAACATTTATCGTTAATGCTCGCGAGATATTTAAATTTCTTTCTTTTTCTTTCTTTCTTTCGTCTTCAATCGATCTCTTTCTCTCTTTTCGTTGGTGCAGTGCCATATATCTATTTTCGATCTTCTTCGTCGAAAGTGATAACATTGTGCGGGGGAGTGGATGGAGTGTCAAAGTGAATTCAAGCATTACGGATCGTAGAATGGCACTGTCTTATCTACAGGAGGCACAGATTAATGCAGGTACGTCTCTTCGACGAAACCAAGCATTCAAGAAATTTACCTACGTGGTACCTCTTTCCTGTGGAAATCACCTTTTACGATTGAATTATATGAATTGGGCAAGCATAAACAAAAGACTGTTATTTTAATACTTGATAAATATTATAAAATGGTAAATTTCTTGGAAACATAAAATAACAAGAAACAATACATAAACATTAAGATTTCATTGGTGCATAAAAAGAAGAATCCGAAAGTTTTGTTCAATGTAAAAATGGCAAATATTACATTTTGTATAAATATCAAATAAGAAAATGAACAAAGAGACCAAAAAATATCAAATGTTTAAACACACACACACATAATACATACAACATATATACATTTCACATAAGCTTGTAAACAAAGTACGAAGAAGACAAAAGATGGTTGGCACGCGTTACGAGCTTCGTCGTTAGTTAGAGATCCGAGAATCGATTATTTTGGTCTCGCTGATGTTTGTGAAGAAAAACAGAGGTAATTCGTAGCTGAGGCGCATTTTGATAAGATTTTCAGACGCATGAACGGGACAGCTGCGACTCTTTTGTTTTTTGTTTTATCCGTAAAAATGAATATCGGAGCATATCCATTTTCATTTTCATGAATGATTGTATCTTCGTTGGATGAGTGATAAACACAAGGTGGGGGAAGGAAGTGTATTCGTTAAAAAGAAGGTGGGAAGAGGGAAAAGAAGAAGGTTTCCGAGTTTCTAACGACCCCGCTAGCAGTGTTACTGGCAAGGCGCCAAAGTCTAAAAGCGCTCGCGGCGACACGACGGTGTTATGACACATTGTAAACATCGATAAGCCAACGCGAAGTGAAATTACTTTTCGAGGGGGGGGAGTAAACGAAGAATAAATATGAGAAAAACGTAAAACGAATTTCGCGCTCGTAACGTAAATTTCCAAAAATAATCTCGGCAATTGTCAGGGGAGGTTGGGCAAGTTTCGAGTCGTGTCGTTAGTCCCAAATGCGCTTACTCATTCGTTCTTTTCTACTCTACGTATGTATTGTAATGTAGATAGATAAATTTTTTTCAAATCTTTTCTAAACGCGTTTTTAACGACATCGTTTCATATCTCACTCACTCATATTATTTTCATATATCTAGAAGGAAGAGTAATGAACTCCTGGATTTCTATTATGACAGAAAAGAAAAAAGAAAGATATTAAAAAAAAGAAAGAAAATATATAATACTTTGAGGAAGCTTCAGGAAGAGGAAAAATTCAAAGTGGAAATATCATTGGAGTTGTGACCAATTAGGGAATGGATGCAGGCGGGGGGCGGGTACTCATCGTGTTGCCGGGAAACGGTGATTGTAGGCCGTAAGAATACTGGTAGACATTAAGGGAGTTTTAGGGGTGGAGTGTTAGAAAGAGATAGAAAACGAAAGAGGAAAGAGGGAAAAGGAAACCTCTACGCACCCTTATTGATTCAACGGAGCTCATTACAACCCTCCCCTAAACGGTCCATTAATTAGCAAACGCCGACCAAGTGCGACCGTTTCGTGTCTTCCTTCTATTTTTTATTTTTATTTTCTTTTTCTTTCCCTTTTTTCTTTTTATTAAATATTAATTAAATCGATCTTATTTCGACGATTATTATCCGCTTTGACGAGGATCAAATCGAAATACAATTTGGATATAACACGTGTAAATAATTAAAACTTTTCGTAAATGTACTAGCGTTAAATATAGAGTATCCTTTAAGTAACTTTGTTTGACGTCATTGCCAATACGGATATGGTGATAATTATATTGTGATGTTTAGTTAATAAATATAGGATTATTTTTATCATAGGAGTAACGAAATACATTCGAAAATATTTTACAAAATAATGATACGCGACATCGATAACATTTAAATATAGCGAGATAACGAAAGATGTTACATAAAATGTATTTATGAAAAAAGTATGCGTGAATAAAATATAATCGTAGGTTTCAGGATAACGATTATCGAAATTATGTACATATTTGTTCTGCCCTTTAAAAATAATACGAAACAAGTCGATAAAAATTATCGACGTTTACTTAAATGGGAAGACTTGAGAAAATCCGTTTTTAAAGTTTTGCGACGAACAACGTAGTTGATGCTTCGATACGCGCGATAAAACTTAGATGTTCTTGAAGTCGTTGGCCTCTGTGAATAGTCGAAGAGGTGGTACGCGTCCTACTCACGTGGGTGGGTGTAGTCGTGTTTTATGAATGAACTCTGCGTCGCGTACGAGAGTGCGCAAGTGAATGGAGAACTTGCTTGCGTACACGAGACACGCATGTGGGAGAAGAAAGATTGTTGCGTTTATTTTAGCGCGGAAAATATGCTTCATTATTTATTAGAGAAAAGGAAAAACATAAAGAGAGAGAGAGAGAGAGAGAGAAAGAAAGAAAGAGAAAGAAAGAAAATGTTTACAGGACGTTAGAATTAGAAAATAAATTAATTCTAATGTATTTTATTATTTATAATAATTTGAAAAAATTATTCAATTTATAATTCTAGGACTTCTATCAGGGGAGCATTTTGACATGAAACAAGACACGGAAAATCAGTCTCGCTCGCCTTCTTTGCGCAGTAACAATAACGCGGCGGCGACGATGTTCTCGGGGGTAGGCGCAGCAGCGGCAGCAGCAGCAGCAGCGGCCGGACTATCGATGTTGACTCCTGAGCAATTAATGGCCGCAAGTCGAACGGCATCTCTCATGGCAGCAGGCTTACCTGTTTCGCTGCAGGCAACATTAGCTGCAAATCCGTCCTTGTTTCATCAAAATTTCTTTAGAGGATGGATACCACCCTCAGCGTCCTCGCCTCCTTTGTCTCTTAATCACTCACCTGTTCCAATTACAACGACTGTTACCACGGTGAAATCCTCTTCGCGCCGTTCTACTACTAGTAACGCGAATAATAATAATAACAACAATAACAATATCGTGACCAGTAGCGCGGAAAGAATGAACAATAAAAAGAATCAAGTAACGAAGAGGAAATCAACAAGAACAGCAAAAACTGAAAGCAGTGTGCCAAATTTGACGGATAATCCGGCGCCACTTAGCCCGGTTTCGTCAATCAGCCCAGAAGCGGGAAAAGATGGCAGGGACAAAGTTTTCACTTGTGGCGTGTGTTCGAGATCTTTTGGTTACAAACACGTATTACAAAATCATGAACGCACGCACACGGGTGAGAAACCGTTTGAGTGTCCAGAGTGCCATAAAAGGTGAGGAAAATATAGAATACGGACATTTATAAACTAGGTAAAAATAAAAAAATAGGGTATTTATTTTAAACGTTCTCATTTTATTACAGATTCACTCGGGACCATCATTTGAAGACTCACATGAGATTGCATACTGGTGAGAAACCGTATCATTGCACCCATTGTGATCGTCAGTTCGTCCAAGTAGCTAATCTTCGTCGTCATTTACGTGTACATACGGGTGAACGTCCGTATGTGTGCGAACTCTGTTCGGCAAAGTTCAGCGATTCGAATCAACTTAAAGCACATGCTTTGATTCATAGAGGTGAAAAGCCATTTATGTGTGACCAATGTCAAATGCGCTTTCGCAGAAGGCATCATCTAATGCATCACAAGTGCGGTATTAACGGAACGGCACCACTTCCAGTACAAGAATCGAGGTCACAAACTTTATCGCCGTCCCTAATTAACGAAGATCTCGAAGACGACGTCGATGTTGATGTAAACGTAGATATTAATGAGGACGAAATGGAATTAACAACGACGACGACGACGACGACAACAACGACGACGACGACGACAATGACTACTACAACGACGTTAACTACGACGACGACAACGACGACGACTGCGTCAACAGCAGCAACAAGTGCAACTACGGCGACAGCAATGGCAACAATGACAACTGCAACACCGTTGCTTCAAATGAAGATTTTGACCACGCCTATCGCTAAAAAATCGACACGTCGACAACATCAACAATCATTACAAAATTCTGTAATTAATCCGGCAATTTCTATGCCGATCAATCTATCTGGTATAATACCAATTAATTTACCAGAACAAACCGAACCGGAAGACCTATCCATGTCAACAGGGATGCAGAGACCTCCCACGCACTCCCATAGTAGTGGAGGTTCTCCGGTAAGTGGTAGTCCAAGCAGTGACATTACTCAAGAAGAAGAAGAAGAGGAAGAAGACGAAGAACTAAAAACTCTATCTGAGGCCAGTCCAAGCAGTCTTTTGCTACCACGACATCGTAGCAAGTATAACAATAAGGTAGGAAGTGGCTCTGCAGAACTCACTCATACCTCCTAGTCGAGCCTTCGTTTGGTACGTAAAAAACAAAGGTAGAATAATGAAAGACGTAATAATCTAAACAAAATGTCATGAACACGTGCTCGCATTCGATACGTACGATTCTTCCACCTCTCTCTTTAAAAGAGACCTCCTCCAACAAGGAGTTCGGAGTTTCAAGTTCCGGAGTGTGGTTAAAAATCGTTGAACGTGCTCGAGCGTGCGATTAAAATTAAGAAGAGAATATATGAACCGGTCTTCAAGAAAGTTCATCTTGTATATATAGTGTCGTTTATACGTACTTTCCTTTTTTTCTTTTATTTTATAAATTTTGTTAGTTATTGTTATGAAATGATTTGAACTATTATACTTTAATATGTATCTAAGAAAAATAGTCGATACAAATCGCTATTTCTTTTTCTTACCGTATATACTCGAGTCACCCACATTTGAGTACATAATTTGGTAACTCGCGCTCTGCTATTTTGTTTATCAACATTAGATTTTTAATCTATAACAGTTATATAGCAGTTGATGTATTACGTTTAGAAAAACATAATGATTATTAGATAAATACGTTAATTAAATACAGTGTGAATGATTGACTTAGTACGAATGACATAGTCCGTATGAACTTACGAAAAATCGTGCAGGTATCAAGAAAAGAAGCAGTTAAACGATGGAATGAATGTACTGGTATACAAGTTCCTCTGACAGTAAAAGTAGCGAGATAGAACGACATCGTTCTGTCGGTCCTCTATCACTTTAACGTTTTATCGACATAAAACAGTATCTTTGTTTCTCTCTTTAAAGTCACGTTATTTGCTATAATATTATTATTATATATATTACGTTAATTTTAAGTTAAACAAGATTATTTATTTTATATATTTCTCGCTGTAGTTTTCGCATCCCATTGTTAATCCCTTCCAAAAACAATATTTTGTTACATATATGCGTAAATTTACAAAAAAGTACATATAATACAAATTTACGAATATCAAGCATTCCAGACTGATTCTATTACCGTAAGAACGACCGTATAAATATATAATATTTAATCATTAAGAAGGAATTGAATTTCTTTGTTTACGGGCAAGATATTGTCGTGACGAAAAACTTCGATTGTTTTTCTTTTATTACTAAAGTTAATAAGAAAAGCAACTCGTAAAATATTTAACAGAGCGTATTAATTGAAAATATATCGATCGATTAATATTTTTGATATTATTTCGTTGGAAGTAATCTTTCAACCAGCGTTCGTGCTCGTATCTTTTGAGAGTTCTCCGATTTCCATCCTCTATTTCTTCGATTCACAGCCGGCTGGGATACGATTTCTTTGGAAGCTTTTGTCCTACAAATCTGCCTACGGCACGGTCTTTCGCGCGAACCAGTTTTCGCAACGATTTCGACTCCTGCGTGCCGAAAATTCGTAGCCAGTAGTTCGACCTACCCTGATTTTAACTCTGCCGACGAATACATCTTCTCGTTTTTTTCTTAGTTCCTTTTTTGGTTTCTCAATGCTCCTCTGATTTATGCCCTTTCCATGGCATACAAATTTACCTTCTTGTAGGTCGTCTACGTCCACTTGAAATCATTCTTAAGTTAGATAGGTACAAATGGACCACTGTTACTAACCTACTTCCGGGTCTGCTTATCCATGCTATTATCCTTGCTTTATTCTTTTATTTTCATCGAAGAAATAGAAACACTCTCCGAAATTTAAAACGAACGGTAACTTCTACAGTCGGGAAGTTACAATGAAAAACGTAGAAAGAAGAAAAAGAAAAAGAGGAGGAGAAAGAAAGAGTTTAAAAAAGGGAAAAAAGAGAATGAGAGCAAAATGTTATTCTTTTTTACATTTTCTGTAAATTTCAGAAAGAAAAAATAAGAGAAAGGGAAAATCACCCTCGTTTCTCTTCCGTTCGTATTACGTCGTCCTTTGCTGGAGTTAAGAAGAGGAGAAAGAAAGGGGAGAAGGAAAGCCTTTCCTCCCTTTCCTTCGTGTTTCCTTTTTTCCGAAGAATCTTACGATTTCTTTTCTTACCGATGACGAAAAAGAAGAAATATTGTGTGTTCTAGTTGCGTATCGCTTCGGCGCACAATATGAATCGAAACGAGGTCTTTTTTCTCTCTCTCTCTTTCTTTCTTTTTTTTTCTTTCGTAAAAACATCACCCTCGCGCATCATCGAATACGATCGAGATTTCTGTTCTTTTTCTTTACGACTTCGTCAACGTAGTCGTCGTCTTCGTCTTCGTCTTCGTCTTCGTCTTCTTTCTCGTCTTTTCCCTACTCCTTTCTCATTGAACCCTCCGACTCGTGCCACGGCATTCAAAGACGGATTAGGTGTTTCGTGAGAATACGGGAACCGTCGTCAAGAGGATCGATAATACGCGAGTATTATTATACAGACGGGAATTCAACGATAATACTTAATCGATATTTAGATTACATTAATTTACATTTCGAAATCGGTATGCTTTGTACTTTAAAAAGCTATCCTACGTACATCAGTATATTATTTTGTGATAAATATATTACTGTCATTTTAAACATTAATATAAAAAAAACGTTTGTGAAACGAAAGATACCGAAACATCACCTTCTATATTTTCATAAAATCTAAAGCAGATTCCAATTCATCTAATTTCAAAAAAGGCGCATTCTATTGTAGTCCATTTCATCCCTCGACTGTTACACTTTCACCTAATAGTGTAGGTTTTACAAATGCCTTAGGTTATTCGTAGTCTCGTCTTGTTATTCACGTTGGATGTTTCGATAGAATCGTTTTCTTTGTTCATTTTCTTCTATTCCTCGTGATCACATAAACGTGGTTTCATCCTATCTCGCGAGATCAGCCTTAACAGAAAATTGACGATTATGCAGAAATCGTTACTCTATATACTTTACTCGAAGAGAAAATAGTTCTTTTAATTCTATCTTATTATAATCTTATTTTATGATAGTATTAAAAAGAAACAAAACATCATAATTTGAATCGTCCATATAAAGAGGAATATGAGGAATAGCGAAAGAAATCGACGAGTTTCGACTTTGTAACGTGACAAAGTTCAAGCACAACCCTGAGTTTCACAGAGTTCATTGTATGTAAAGTATACATACGTATATATATAAGTATATACACACACATATATACAGATATATATAGTATATACTGAAAACACACTCTAAGACCCTCATCGACAAGATTTGATATAGAAACGAATTTACAAACGAGAAAACTGCGTACATACCTAATTTCTTTTTTTTTTCCTCTATTGGCACGAAGGATAAATGTATCGTCACGCCGCGTTAACATAAAAGAAAGAAGGTGACTTAACGAATTTGCTTTTTATAATCATGCTTCACGATGTTTTTACACACTCTCTTGGTTACGAGAAGAAGAGAGAAAACCGGTCCTTTTTTCTACGATTCGACCACATAATTGAGCGAACTAGCTATAAAGAAGGAATGTAGTAGTAGAATAGTGCAAGTATGAAGCTTGTTGAAAATTACGTTATAAGATCATGTTCGGTTTGGACGACGATACTTGCTCGTATACATCAAAGAAATATTCAGAACAATGTGAACGTTAACGTGAATGTATTATAACGGTATATACTGTAGAATTTTAGTACAAGTAAATTTATGTTATCTTAAACAAGAAAGAAGCCTAATATTTTATGCTTTTTTTATATTTTTAATTTATTAATTATCAATTAAAATATTCATTTTAGTTTAACTGTTTTCTAAGATATGCAAGTTTTTCTATAAATTTCTCCAAAAAAATATTGTACGCGAGATAATTTTAGTAAAGTAATCGTTTCTGGAAGTGTTTGATATTTGAAGTGAAAAATAAAACTTTGTTTTTTATTTTCAAGAGAGCAACAATATTCTTGATATATTGAAACATTGGGAAGTTTAATAAGAGATAGAGAAAGATAGATATGTTTTCTTCGCAGTGTGCTAATTCCGTTCCTATTTACCGAAACTAAAACTCTACTTCATAGCTGAGTTTATCGGTACATTAAGAAATAAATTCCTAATTAATGGTCGTTAGTTCCATAACAGAACAAATAATGAAATACTGAAAAATTACGTTCCTGTTGAGACGGTCAGAAAAAAGCCGTGTCAATTGTTTTATATTTTTTCTTTATGTAAAAAAAAACCAGAGAAAACAGATAAAATTTAAAGGGAAATTAAAATGACATTACAATCACACGGAAGATATATATATATATATATATATATATATATATATATATATATATATATTCTATATATACACACACGTACAGCGCACATTGTATTTACAAACAGAGAGAAAGAAAGAGAGAAAAAAATACCGTTGCTTGTGTCCAACAAACATCATAATAATTAATTATTATAGTTATTGTCAGTTTAGCTCTCTTTTAAATGAGAACAACGCAAAAACTAAATATAAATATTAGTATCTATTTGTGTCAAATAGCTTATAATATTATACCGTTAACAATATATGTGTTAGGATTGGGATTGTAGCGAGCAAATTAAATTGTATTATCGATTACATCTATCGACAAAAATTTTAAAAATATCTTTTCGTGCGATAAAAATAAACGAAATAAATAATTAACGATTTCGTATTACAATCCCAGTTATTCTTAAATATTTGATTACATACTTACGATGTAAACTTTATTGTATCTATATATATATATATACACATATATATATATACATAGTTATAATTTTGTACAGCTAATCCAAAGGATAATCGTATGCACGACGATATTACGTGTACTGCATTACATTCGAACATTTGAGAGAACATTGAAAATCAATGATTTTCTAACGCCAACATCAAAATTATATTTAATTTCGCTTATGTTCGCGTAACTCGCATATGTTCGAATCTTTGTAACGCATGTCGACGCACGGTACAAATTCAAACCTTATGCCTCTAATTAAAATAATAATATCACACCGTAAAATACTCGAAGACATTCTCGCTATTCAAAAGATGCGTAGAATGCTACTCGAAAGAATTTTTGTTGTTTCATAAACATAATAAAGTTTATGGAAACATTTTAGATTTTTCATTAACGCGTTGAATAAGATTGATTCATTATTCGTCTGTCACGATTTTTCTATGTATAAAGTAAAACAATCTAAAAAAATTATTCTAGATCACTGTAGTACGTCAACTAAATATGAAAGAAAAAAATGAAAAGATGTACAAAAAATACGAATAAGAAATCGAGTGGCACTGAATGTATACTACGAAACTGACACTACCTCACCAGACACCTAATATATCTCAATCACAAGACTGATTTTGAATAGTATTCCTATAAAATAAGAGATAAAGAAATAATAAAAAGAAAAAAAAAAAGAAAGGAAACATAAAAAAAGAGATAAGTAAAATTATAAAGAGAATTTTATTCGTACAAATACGATATAGACAGTTTTTCTAAATAATTTAAATATCAAAGGGTATCAATTATATACTATTAAATATTGTCATTGCGTCGCTGCCAAAAAACAAATATAAAACAAATAACCCATTCCTATAAACTGTTCAAAATAAAGAAATAGATTAACATCCTTTGTATTATATAAATTGTTTATTCGTGATTTAACACTCTGATTTAACATATGTAATTCGTTTAGTGAATGTTTCATCAGGTTGATAATAGGTCTGTCGAACTATTTTTATTATTAAAGCTCACTGTTTAATCGTTTTAGAAGTCTTCTTTATTTACAATCCCTTTACTTTAAATGATCTTTTATTTTTATTATTAAAAATTATATTTACTATGTGAATGGATACATATATATATCAGTAGACTAGTGAATAGTATATATATATATATATATATACTATTATATCCATGGATATACATACTTTGTTAAAAAAGTAACAGCAACATTCGATCGATGAACAGATTTTGTCCAAAAATTATTAATAAAACCATTGTTAGTCTATTATTCCCTGAAGGACCAAAGGGAAGAAGAATAACGAATAAAATCTAGTAGATGACAAAAAAATTTTCAACATTTTCACAACTCATCCCAGGTTGCATCTTGCGTTGTTACGGTGGCGCAGGAAAACGAGAAAAGAGACTATCAAAGAATATAAGAGGGGTGGATAGAAAGAGAGAGAGAGAGAGAATAAGAGAAACAGAGGAAAGACCAGCAGCATCGTTGAATGTTGAAAAACCATCCAATTTCTCCCTAGTTTCTCTCTCATGTGAGACTGGCATACGACTTACATTCAGCCGTACCATTCAATTCATCGAATTTCCAAAATCTAGGATTTCTACGGGCACGCTCGTGCTCGTATAGGTGAAGAGGTTGCTGCAGGCATCACTAAATCGTTGAAAAGTAAAGGGAAAGAGAGAAAAAAAAGAGTGAGTGAACTGACACAGTGACACATTATGCCGTAATGTGGGGGCACGTGGCAGATGCTAGTCGAGCCAAGCTGGATGCATCGATGTCTCTCAAAGTGCCAATATAAAACCGGTTCTTTCTTTAGAATAATTTCATTGCATAAATTTTCATTTTTTTGTAATATCGAAAAAGATGCTAAATTATCCTAAAAACGTTTTTTAAAATAATATTGGTAATCGTTGAAAAAATCTGTTGCAATGTATTCAAAAGTAGTGAGTACCATTAAATTTCACATAACTGCTTCAAAAATGTGATATTATTTTCTTGGAAAGTGATTTATCGTGATTATCTATATTTTGCGATAAAATATAATTTTAACGGAAGGGAAAAAAAAGTTAGGCGGATTCTGGATACGGACGGTATAGGTAAGTCGAAGGGATCCACCACTTTTTGTTTGTTGC